TCCTCTCCTCTTATCCTTGTTACATTCATTAGATTGTTTTTTCAGTTATATTTTTTTACACTTGATACATTTTATATTTTGTGTTCTCAGAGATCACTGACTATATTAAGGTATGCTGTATGTATGCCAGTGTAATGTGAATGAATGACCAGCTGCTGTTCACCATCAGAGACCCTCTGGCTCCATCGATGCAAAGAAAGTTTTGGAAGTGTATAACCTTGATATTATTAGGTTTAGTTTCTCCTAGATGGGCAAAGAGAAATAGCTGTTTGCAGTTATAAAGCTGGAATCTGAACAGTGAAAAGAATAAGCAGAGCTCTGGGAAACCTCTGGAATTGAATTTGACAATTTGGGTTAATTAGAAGTTAGGGAAGGCAAGAGTTGAATATTAGAAGAATAGTTTGTTTTGATTAATTTCATTTCCTGGGTTGGTGCTTTCTCATAGAAAGAAGAGTGCAATGAGGAGATGCTCCTGCTGAGAATGTGAGTTTGGACAGCCTTGGTCATCCCCCCAAAATGTGGTATGCCAGGCCTCTGGCATTAGTATTTAGAGAATGCTGGAAGTTCGGAACTGAAGTTATAGGTGAACTAGAGATGGCATGTTTGTAACAGCAGTCAGGCACATAGACAGCCAGTTTCTAAAATACATACTAAAGGCCAGATAGGCACAGTATTAAAAGTTACTATTCAATGCTGCTTAGTATTTATTTAGAATATGGAATAAAAATCTCCTTGTTCACTGAACAACTGCTGCAGAGATGCACAAAGAGTCTGGAAACCCCTTGACAAACATTTACACAGAAGGTGATGATAAACAAACAGGACCTAATACCTAGCACAATGCTTTTATAGGACATGTTTTATTAACAGCTTTGTATTTTTGCTCTGCCTGTCAGGAGAATCCTTTATCCCCAAACCTCTCATTGCAGATTTACTGTAACATGTAGCTCTATTTTTAATCAGAGTATGGGGAATGAAGGGAGACATATATCCAAAAGCATTAGCAGGTAATACTCAGCATCTCTGAAGGCACATTTATTGAATACTTCAATTTGACTGTGAACTCATGCTTAAATGGCTATCTTTGTTTCGCTGTTGATGTATCATGATATTTTCATACACTGATGCAGGTTTATTCATTGTCTGCCAAGAGCAGTATATTGTAGACCTTTCACATGGGGAGTAAAGGCAATTTTTTTCTAGTTATAACTCTCAGATAAGCCAAAAGACAATGTATTATTTAAGAACGTGGTGCAACCAATTCTGCTCTCAGAATGCTACTCTGTATGGGTAAATATACTAGTAAAATAATGAGAATGATTGGTATGGATTTCTTTTAAAACTGTATTTTGGCATATAGAGACATGTAGATATAAATTCTGCCATTAGCAGGTCAGATTTCCAAGGCTTTATGAACCTTTCTTAGATTCAAGCTATAGTTGAAGTAGGAGCATATGTTTCAATATAATTTGTTTGTTAAATGAAGGGACCTAGAATTGTGAACCTTAACAAACTTGGGTGAACTCCTGGGATCCATTTAAGCTTCTTTTTACAACAGGTCTCAGCACAGCTGGCCTTTGCAACCTTGTGAGATAGTTGGGTGATATTGCTGCATTAAGTGGGAGATGGAAATGGAGCCTTTTTCAGTAGCACATGGTTAGTTTTGATAATGTATCTTCCTATATGTTTTGGCAACAATTGGCAAGTGTTGTATAAGCCATACATATTCCTGGAATAAATCAGCTGGTAGTTATCTCTGAGGACACATCTTCATCTTTTCTCTAAAAATAGAGTGACAGATTATATTTACATTAAGTTGAATTTTAACTGAAAAAAAAGGAAAGCAGATGTGATGCTGCTGCTGTGAGGAGAGGTGGAAGATTACCGAAATTCCAGTTATTATGGAAACAAAGATTGATTTTTCAGAAGACTATTAGTCATTGTTCTATTCCCTTATACTCTGCTGATATACGAGGAGTCTTGGTCACCATTATGAGAATTTCACAATGTAAATTATGGAGAGTACAATAAATCATTGAAACACAGTATAATACGTAGACAATAATATACAATAAGAAGGCTGTACAGATCCTGAACATTGTCTTTTACCTTGACTAACACTGTAATGCATTATGGTAGAGCAAACAGTGAATATATTAGTGTTACTTCTTTGTAATTTATGTTATCTTTATGTATCTTCAACTTAATGGATGGTAGATTATTTATCTTTTAAAACCAAAATGTGGGTAAGTTGGTCTGTAACATATAAACTCAAGCACTTATCTCTAGTATAAGACTAACTTGATCAACCTTGTGGAATTAAGAATTGCATCTCCTGAACGACTGATAGGAACTGTAGGCTATTCCACTCAGCTAGATTGGGCACAAATTAAAATGTATGTGAATAAGATTCAGTTCATCTAGATGGTCTCAGAAATCACATGTTCCTCTTTATTATATGAATGCTTCCTGTTCAATTAAATAGATTACCTACTGGATAATCATTTTATGATGAAATGGTTAATTGGCAAAAAAAGCACACTCAGCTTTAGACTGTTATTCACTTGATCACTCTATTTTTGACTGTTCCTGTCACCTGAGAAGGTTTACCTATAGAGCAACTTGTAGGTTATGTAGGGAAATCCAGCGTAGTCACTGTGACCTTAAAGCAGCCATTCATGTATTTTTTATTTCCTGTAAGTACTTAATTTTGATAATGTGAATAACTTTATTTCCAGTTGTTTAAATTAACTGATCTAGCACTGTGCTTTGGATTTGAATAATAGTGGTAAATCTAGTTCTCTAAAGCACTGGGGAATGGCACAGAAGTGGTTTCACACTGCCCTGGGATGGTGCCTGATGTAAGTTCACATCAATTGAATACTTATGGGCTAGTGTGAGACCAGTCTCCCTCTTCTGTACTTACAGACATAGTTGCAGCATTTCACTGGCTTCATCCCTTTTTTCTGTAATTGATGACATAACCAACCCATTCCAATGAGTCTCTTCACACAACAATGATACCATTTTTGTACTCATAATACAGTTTCCCTTGGCTTTGTGAGCTGAACACTCCAAACTAGCATGAAAAATACAATCTCTTTCTTCTAATTTTATATAAAAAAATGTGGAGTTAGATGCAGCTCAGAACTGCCATTCAGGCACAGCTGCAAGCATACTGGGGGTAGTACACCAAGCCAGGTGGTGTAATTTGGAGCAGCCCCATAACTCTCAGCAAAACCAAGTCTGCTAGAATCCATACAAGTATCAACTGGCATGCGTTACCACCACCTTTGAATACAATTACTTAGCAAAAGTACTTAAGACTAAAATGACAAATGCTGGTAGCTAAGGACAAAATTCCATATTGAGGTGTAATAAATTATAAAGACAGTTAAATATATTCACTAGAAAGAGAAATCAGAGTCTCAAGATACATTTGTAATTAAAGATGTCTATTTAAAGTTTTATCTCAGTTTGACCACACACTCATAATTTATGAAGCTGTATGTTCTGATGTCAAGAAATTAAGTGGGAATTGTGAACCTAATAGCTTTACAGTAAGAAAATCTATATCACAGTTACAAAACCTAATTATTTCATTGGTAAATCTGCCTGGCAGTTCTTCTGGGATTCAGAGGAGATCCCCAAAGAGATGAGCATTTGTTGTGGTTTAGCCCCAGCTGACAACCAAACACCACACAGCCACTCGCTCACCCCCACCCCCACCTCCAGTGGGATGGGGGAGAGAATCGGAAGGGCAAAAGTAAGAAAACTTGTGGGTTGAGATAAGAACAGTTTAGTAATTGAAATAAAATAATAATAAAAATAAAAATTGTGATGAAAAGGAGAACAACAAGAGAGAGAAACAAAACCCAGGAAAAACAAGTGATGCAACTGCTCACCATGTGCTGACCGACGCACAGCCATTCCCCGAGCAGCGATCGCTGCCCCCCAGCCAACTCCCCCCAGCTTATAGACTGAGCATGGCATCATATGGTATGGAATAGCCCTTTGGTCAGTTTGGATCAACGGTCTTGGCTGTGCCCCCTCCCAGCTTCTTGTGCACCTGGCAGAGCATGGGAAGCTGAAAAGTCCTTGACTAGCATAAGCAGTACTCAGCAACAACTAAAACATCAGTGTGTTATCAGCATTCTTCTCCCACTAAATCCAAAACACAGCACTATGCCAGCTACTAGGAAGAAAATTAACTCCACCCCAGCCATAACCAGGACAGCATTTCAGACCAATAATGACTGTCTACTTTCAGTGACTTTGGTAAACTCTATTGTACAGGTGAGTAAAGAAAGAAGCACATGCTTGCATTGAACGATATAAATAGTTAATATGAGAGTCAGGCCCTCACTTGTGATCTTGTGGGCCTTCCCACCTCTGGGTAGTACTAACTAGCAGAAGAAATGCCATTGCATCCAATTAAATTGCTTGCGTTAGTGAAAGTACTTGAGAATGTTAATTTAAAAAATACCTAGAGAGCTAGACCAGGACAGGACATCTAGTGACCTAAGGCCTTAGACTAGACACATGACCACTGCCCACTTCCTTTTTCCTGTACTGTATTCTCAAAGTTATTCCTTAATCTCCTATTATAGTAATCCAAACTGATTTGGTCCGCAAGATCTAATGAGAATATTCCTTCTCACCCACATTTAGATGAGGGCAAAATCTGCCTTTACAGCTTTCTTCAACAGTGAGGAGGACACTGCTAACATTTACTCATAGTGTTTAAAAGGAATAGTAGTGAAACAAACTCTTAGGAAATAAGGCTGCGTCTGACCTAGGTCCAAACCCATAATGAACTTGGGAAGAACCTGTTCCTTGTGGTCTGAAGCCTCTACCAGGTAGCCAAATACTTCCTTTGTGCTTGTAAAACTCTATTAAAAAGCATACAAGTAAGCCTTAGAAAGCTGTAGCAATTCAGTGATTGATCCATAGTGATTGCATTCTATTTTGATGGTTAATATTGTAAAGAGAGTACTAACCTGATCTGAAGCCATGTGAGCATTGGTGTTGTGCCCCCACCAAATACCCAGACTGTGAAAAACACAATAAGCAGTGCTGTTGTAAACATCATTTGTTTGGGTTGGGATTCTGTGTCTTGAATAGCCAATGCAAATGCTATTGCACCACGTAAACCTAAAAAAAAAAAAAAAAAGACAAGAATGATGAACTTAATGTGATGGAAAACCAGAATTTTACTCATTTCAGCCCAAACCCAATTCCAAGGGCACAGCAAATTTTTAGACCATGATAATATTTATAAAATGCTGAATTGTGCTAATTGAAAGGATGGTGTTTAATGCAATGTAAGCAACTTTGCAAAAGTGGACAATGAAACTACTCTCATATTCACACAATAATCACACATTTGTTTTATATCCACTGAATTCTTTGTCTTGAATAATTGCAAATTAAATAGTAATCTGGACTTTATGCATGTTAAAAAAGAAATCTATTCCCTCTGTTGTTCTGACTTCAGTAGGACTACTCATGAAATCAGGTGCAAGTGAGAAAGAGGGCTGGCATTAAAATCTATACCCAAATAGAATACCCATTTCTTGCTTGAAAAAATAGAAAATGTCTTTAAAATTTCTTTAAAATCTTTCAATATGCTAAGAACAGTCAGAAAAATTATGACTTAAAACCAATGAATAGTTTTTAAAAGATGATTTTAAGTATTTAAAAAGGGGATGCAGAAATAATGTAGATTTTTAGCTCTTAGGTGTACTTGAAATATAATAGTTGTAAAATTAGACACCTACAGAGACTGAATAAACAAAAACTTACAAATGCAGAGAAAACGGCTAACAGTGAGTTTAAAAAAAGCCTCATAGGTAGTAACAAGCTAACTAAATAGGTCTTCTTCACAGAATGACACATTTAAAAAAGAGGGGGGGAAAAAGCCTGCTAGTGACTCTAGCACTCAGGATGCATAATAGAAATAATACTCTGCATTTTCCAATGCTTTTAATTTATCTGTTTAAATTTACTTTGTTTTAAAAAAAAAATAAAATCCAGAAAATAAATGTAGAGAGCAAAGCCATTACATGTATACAATACCAGTATTGTATATCCAAAAAGTACTCTGCATCTTTCGAGAGATTAAATCTAATAATTAAACCTCTTGTAAGGCACTGATGGTATATGCAGAATCATTTAATCAACTGCTAAATGCAGCTATTTTTGGAGTAGAACTCTAAAGCTCTTTAAGATTACATAGCTAGAATGTGAATTATTTGGTATAGAAGATTCTAAGATGGACAGTTTATCCAGAGAATACCACAAAGCCATTTCTGCAAGGAAGTACCAGACTGTAATTACATTCGCTGAAAATGGTCAGTGGCAGCAGGTTTAAAATCCACCCTCTGTAATGTGTTGTTAGAGGAGTGGCAGAAGCAGATGAAGAATATAATAAATCAAAACACTACATAATCTACTTCCAAGCCTAACTCTTCCACCTTTTCTTGAATGTATTAATACTCCTGAAAAAGTAGAACTTAATGGCTTCAGTAGAATTCTTTGCAGAGTAAGGTATACTCAAATGTTAATTGGCTATGTACTTGCCTGACCTTAATTGCTTTTTTCAGAGTTTGATATTCATGGTGATTATGGCAGTAAAACTCAGTAAAGCAAGCAGTAAACATTTAGTGCATTTGGTAATGGTAAGATGGAAAACAAAACTAACCCCAGATTCGTTGTTTTCTACATCTGAGTGTGTGACGCTGTGGTGAGTGAAGCCCAGTTTTCCCTGTGATTGACTAGAACCTGATGCTATATCAGAATATTGCTGCTGATCTTGTGTAGGCAGTAAGCACCTTCCTCCAAATTCAGATTCAATGCCTGTTTACACTTATCAGAAATGTGCCTCTCGTCCGGCAGTCATTGTCTCCTCTGTTTATCACTATATACAGTATGATCAGTTTATACTAAATAATGTTATTGGTAAATAAGCACAAATCTTAGTGCATATTAAAAAGTACAATGACACAGAAAATCCACATATCCTAAGTGTTCTGTGAAGCGTGAAGCTGCTGGCAGTGTGTGACGCAGTCACTCTTTATTGCTCTACTTGCAGATGACGCTATTTACTTTTTTATAATGCTGTAAAGACATTTTTCTCTACAAAATACAGTGTTTCTTTGAAAACAGTTAAAAATTACTTTTCTGAGTATTTTAACATTTGCATTTTAGAAGTTTTCAATACTACTATTTTCAGTTCTCAGCTGCCAGATTGTACTGGAAAGCTAATGTGTGAGTGTGAGTTCTCACGTTCAGTTGTTGGCTGCAGGCTACTTTTTGCTCCTAGTTCTGTGGAGAATGAAATTTGACTGGAGAAAATGAGGACAGAAAAGTTGAAGAATAAGATATATTTTAGAAGATTTTTAATTCTATACTTTATCTGATGAAAAATAAAAGCAAAAATGGAGCCCAGAAACTAGATAAGTAATGATACGGAGCCATTTTTTCATGCTGTTGTCTAGTTGGCCACCTGCTAGCTCTACTAGAGTGATCTACATATACATCTTACATGGCTAACAATTGTAGGTGAGCAGGCAGTCTGAAAGCCGGTTCCTAATGTGGATGTATGTCATCATCACTCACTACAATCCATCTGGTATTAACTGACATTTCCAATGGCAGCTTTTAGCAGAAGGATTGAATGGATATAGAAATGAACTACTGTGTTGCTCTCTAGAGAGATGGAATTACATAGGCTTAAATGAGGCACCCTGATGTGGAAGCTTGACATGTGGCACACTGTATTTTACTTGTTATCTGGCTAAATAGATCAGTGTATATCAAGGCTGTCAATCAAGAACTGTTATCCATAAAAATTTGGAATAGGTTTTTGTATAAAAAGCAGGAAAATGAAAAGGAAAAAAAAAAGTCCTGACTTTCGAATTTTAGAAAATTATTTCATAAATGACATGAGGGGATCTGTGTTTCTGTCTTTTACTGAACAAATATTCTTAGCTTATAAGTGAGTTTTTCCTAACTAGCATCAGAAGGTCAAGTGGAGGTATTTCTAGCTTGTGCAAGTCCAAAAATACCTAATCCAGCTGAGAACTTTAACAGTTCAGGGGATGATGCACAAATCAGAGTAGAACATGGCTCCCTCTTCTGGATTTTTTTTTTTATTCTACAATGTTAACCAGAGATAAAAATAAATAAAATCTGAATTTGGAAAATACTCAAATATCAGGCTGGAATACATATGAATACATATGAAAAGGTCTGTGTAGTTAAAGTCTCCTAGTCTCATGTTTCAAAGTAAAGCTGTTCCTGAAGTTAAAGGAATTGCCAAAGACCATGTCTGATCTGAGTATCAGTACTAACACCTTCAAAGTTGGGTATTTATTTGCCGGTATGTAAGCATACTGTCAGGTATACTACAGGTGCCTCTAAACCAATACAACATAAAAAACATGGTATTCCCAAATTGCCATGGAATTGTAGACAGATGGGGGACAATGGGTTGAAAGACTGGCTTCCTGGGTGGTAGGTTTCCAAAAGGTTAATTAAAATAGGTCCAAAGCACAGTGAAGTTGATGACAATACATCCATTTGCTTCAGTAGCTTTGAAGAGACTATCTTGAGTTTTAAGATAATGACTTCTTTGTGATAGATGTGGCTTTTTCTAGTGATAGAGTTGTTAAATGTGGACAGGAAAAATACCAAAATAGCACTTACCTGAAAACATCATCATGTGTTGGAAGTTCCTGGGAATCTTTTGTTTTCGACCCAAATTCAAAAGGAAAGAAAGTGGGTATATGTTGCAAGCTCTTGCTACAAAAACTGCCACCTAAAATGTAAGATGTTGAGGAAAATGGTGGAGGAACTACTGACAAAATGAGAGTGAACTTAAACCCAGTATTTCTCCAAAGTTATTTTAAAAGTGTAATTAAAATGAATATGAGATTATCTTCCTTCATATTTTACATGTCAGATCCTTCTGGTTCCAATTTCATTATAAAACTGTGCAGTGGCAGAGATTGTCTTCCCCAGACATCCTGGTTATGTATTCATCATTATATATCCCACTTCAATCACTCTACTTTTACTCATCACATTTGTATCACATGTGACTTCATCTTCAGTCCTTCAGTAAAATGCCCGCCATCAATTGCAGAGATGGCATTATCTCCTTGAGCAGCAATTTGCAAAGAATAAATGTGCTTTTGGACATGATTACTTTCTTATTCCCTGACAATTCGTATTGTCTATATCCATCACTCTGCTTTTTTTTTTGTTTTTCTTTGGAGATTTTTTGAAAGGAGTTCTTTATTACTCCTCTGTGGAATGATCACAAAAGTTGCCTTAATTAGAAACATGAGGCTATTTCAGTTTTAAAAAAAAGATAATCAAAGATCCTTATAAATGCTTTTAGCAGGTTCCGTTCTCCCCTTGTCTTGTGACTCTTACAGCTCAATTATGACACTCAGTCTGAGCCATGCTGCGGACTGTAGAACAGATGAAGTACTTGAGTGGCAATGTCTGTATGTATCGCATCTGCTGGGCCAAGAGCTGCTTAAAGCTCCTAAGGACTTGGGAGAACATGCTAATGCAGTGGTTGCTTCACATGCTCTGTGCTCCAGCCGTCCAGCGCAACCCTGTTGCAGTCTCTTGGCTCTTGGAGGAAACGACAGAGCCAGGTGCCTGCAGTGCTCTGCAGCACAGCCCCCATCCTGGGTGCCGAGTGCGGCTCTCACGTTCAGCTGTCCTCCTGTGCTAGGAGTGTAGGACGTAGTATTGCACTTGCCGTGTGGTGGTGGTGGTGTGCAAGAGGCTCTTGGGGTCCCCTCTGCCATCTAACCCAATCTGTAGCCAAGGGAGCTGTGATGCAGTTCTTATTATTCATTTGGAAATTACATATAAAAATTACTCCAAGTAAACAGTATGATCCCAACTTTGAAAGCTGTTACAGTTCACCAAAAAGTGATAAGCAAGGGGTGCTGCTCTCAGCCAAAAAAATCGTGTAAATTGTCAGTGTGAAAAGAATTGATACCACTGTACAGTTTAAGCGACAGATTTGTTGAAAAACCACGGCAGAATTAAAGACACAGACTCTTTCTTGCCAGCCTCTTAGGCACCTGATGGTGTAAATAAATCCATGTACAGTAGAGATATCAAATACAAAGAAGGAAAGATCTGAGCAATGCAGAGCTGTTTGCTTTTCAAGGACTTAATATCATTTAAGTAGCTTTGGAGAAGTTCTGCTTATGGCACATATCTGTCCGCAGTCCAGAGTTTGTGGACCTGCACTGGCTCTGGACAGGCAAAAAGATTTTGCGTGCCTGCGCCTGCCCCCACAGATGTGTCCCAGTACTCATCCCAATTTCCCACCCCACTTGTAAACCAGTGGTAGAAGTCCCCCAGCTGGTATAAAGCTTTTCAAGCCTTGTAGCAGATCTGCAAAACAGCAATTGTCAAAAGACAATGTGCTTACATGCATTGAGCCACTTACTGAGATACACGTAATAAAGATGATTGCCTTTGGACTTGACAAAAAACTGATTTTTAGTATTTAAGGAACCAATTGGTTTGCTTGTTGACATTTTTGTTCACATGGAGCACACGTTCTTTATATATATAAAAAAATATATGTATGTACATAGATATATACTTCTTTAAAGCAAAGGATACAAATGCACCAAATATAAAAAGAGGATTGAAGATATGATTTTGAAACGTGAATAGTGCGAGTCCCATGTAACAGAAGATGACATTCTCAGCCAAAAAATTCATGAACTCGAACAACTTAAACGAGAGAGAGAGAAAGAACATAATTATGACTCATGTCTGTAACTAACTACTGTTTATCACCAGGTTCCCTTGGAATACAGAACTGTTTAGACGAAAGGAGCAGAAATCGCACCTATTTCAAGGTTGGATTTTAAAACCATCTAATTTGCTATACAGTATACGTGGTGTCTTTTAGCTTTAAAAATCATAGTTGCTTGCATATTTTTCTCTGATTTGTGGATGAAAGCTTGACATAGACAACTGATAAAATACATAAACAGCAAATAAGTTATACAAGCTTCAATGCAAACTGTAAGGAAGCTGAGGGAATTTAACTTCTCTCATGTTTACATAGGTAAGCCTGGGAAATGGCTCTTGATTACACAAGTGGCTATGCATAATGCAGTACTGGGTATGGGTACAGTCATGCCAAGAGAGAAAAAAAAAAAAAACTTAAACGGATTTTTAAGAACCTGTGCCTTTAAAATATAACACGACTTTTTTTTATTACCACGAATATTATCCTGCAGATGAAAACTTTTATTGTACTATATGGACATCGACATCAGTTACTCATTTCAAACTAAACTATTTAAAATATCATTTAAACATATTGTAAAATAAGCCTAAAATACATGATTATGGTAGGATTTCTTCTGTGAAAAAACAAGCAAAGTCAAAATATTAATTTGCCTTGAGGGGATGTTCCTGATTGCATTTGCAGCTGATTAGTTAAAACTAATAAAATAAATTTTCATATTTATCCACATCTGGAAAAAACCAGTCATTGCTGCCAAATAACTACACAGGAGAGAAAAAGAGGTCTTTTCACTTCTAAAGTCACTTTTGGGCTCAGGAGACTATGCTAACAAATCCTGATGCAGAATTAGGGCCGAAATTTGTCAATCTGTCTACAACCAGGCATACATCACTATCCAGAATGTTACTATGGAGATATTTTATTAATCCTCAATGGGCTTATGTATTCTTTGTAATATGTTTGTGCTTCTAAAAATAAATATCCAATAACAGTCACTAGGATCTAACAAAGGAAAAATGAGAGCTGTCAGAATCATTATTTAAAACAAATTTCAGAGGCAAAATGGCACAAAACCCAGTAGTATATGGGAAGGTATTTCGGACCCCATGGCAGCACCATCAATTATCCCAAGCACACATTCCATAGCCCCCATTTTGTGCTGCAATGCTGAACAACATGAAAACAAACACAGGAAATATTTGCAAGTTAGTAGACTTAAATTATTTAAATTAAATTTAAGTGAGAGAAACCAGTTGTCAAAAACCCTCAAAGTATGGGATCCTGTGACCTATAGAAATTTGTGTTTCCATTTTGGGAGCAAACATGATCCCACTTCTTTGTGGGAATGTCATTTGACACATTTTCCTAATGCTTTAAACCATGTATCAGGAGTGTCATGACAGGATCTACATACATATATGTAAGAAAAAAAAAAATCTGTATTTGTGTATGTATAAAAATCTTTTGAGGGAAAGGTACTGCTATGAGGAGCCACAACTGCACACTTTAGTTGTTGGGATAAGATAAAGGTGCTCCAGTGGTTTTAAAGCTGAATGATATTTCACTCATCATTTACAAAATCCTATTCAAGACTTAAAGAAATGTAAAGTAGATCTACTATTGATGCATTTTAGAAACACAGTTTCTGAAACTAAAGTTTCTCTCTTTTATTTTCCAAACTTTTTGTTGTCATACATTTTTTGAAGGAAACCAGATTTTGCTACATCATTGCTTTTGCTGTATACTCTTTCTCAATAATCTTCACTAGTAAATTCCAGCTTTTACTCTTGCCTGAAGTGCTTTCATGACATTAGTGCTTTTAAACTTCTCACCCCTTGTCTCCCAGCAATCTGGTCAAGATACAGTCTTCATGTATTTCTTGTAAATTCAGTTTAGTGCATCTTTTACATTTCCTTATAACTTTAGCTCCTTTTCTGGCTACATGCATCCTGTTTCTTCTTACTTCAATGCAGCATCAAAACTCCAGAATCATTTCAGTAAGTGATTCTTAAAAAGAAAAATCCCTAGTTCTTGACTACGTGTTTCCAATCAACATGAACAATATATACTTCCTTCGCTCACTGGGCCAATGTTTCCTGTGTCACCTAGTTTTCTTAGCCTATACTTACAGTGTACATAACACTTTTTAGCCATGTCATCTATGTCAGATACATGCAACACCGTAATCTACTGCACTTCTTGAATCATATTGCTGGACATGAACTGGTTGGTTTGCAAGAGCAAACACAATCCAAATCCCATTTTTCTTCTGTGAATTTTGGTGCTGAACTGTGCTGGTTTTTTCCCCCCTCTTATCTCTAGTTTCTTCCTATTTTGATCTTCCACTATCATAGCACTGCCTACTTGCTAGAAGATTGAATCCAGACTAGTTTCCTTCCTTTGTACAGCAAAAATCCAGGTGCTATTTCAATAGCTAATTAAGACTAGGCTCCTTCCTATTCCAGGCACAGCCATGATATGGTCTCTTATGAAAGACTCAGCTCCTAAGAATGGTAAAACTAGCTCGTTAGCTTCATTCAGTCTTCTGTATTCCCCATATAGTTTGCTCCTCTTTTCTAAAAGTATATCACTCATATGACACATTTATTCATGGAGTGCAAGTTATTCAAATTTCTCACCCTGAGTTAACAAAAAAAAAAAAATTTAAAAATATGAACTGCTTCAGAACTAGTTATTGTCATAAAAGAAGTGATATCTGAATGCCTTTTCCTGGAACATGACACTTGTAGATGTAATGTAAAACCTATCCACTGTCCTCCAGACTTCACTTTTATGCCTGTATTCAGCAGGGTGTTTTATTTAGTGTTTCTTCATCTTCTGTGCGTTGTTCAACAGTAATACAGAGCCCATGGAGATACTCCATTAAGCACTTAACTGTCAGTGCTGTGCAGCATAAATCCCATCAAAACAAAACAATTTATTCTAAAGAGATCTTCTGAAAGCCATGTTAAGAAACAGCTTCCATAGAAGCATTTTCCCAAATTGTCATGACTTTCACACAAATGTTTCTGTCACTATTTTAAAAATTATGAGAAGCAGAAGAATAGGAGGAATTGGATTTCATTGGGAATTTGTAATTTCCTGGGGCACCCAAGGAATTCCAAGAAGAGCTGCATCATACACATTAGCCTCTGAAAAACATCCGTTTTTGTCGGAGTGGCCATAAGCCAGGTCCATGCTATGGTCCAGGGTCTGCTTAAATGCCACTCAAAAATTTCCCTTATTTTGAATATATGTACTTGCAAGTGGGATTACTTGCACATGAAAAAAAAAAAAAAAGAAAAAAAGAAACAAGTTAGGATTAGAATCTTAGATATTAGGTCCTTGGAAGTATTTTGTCTATAACCATAAATTCCCTTCCCTTGCCTCCCGCACAGACAACTAACCTCTTTCTACTCTAAATGAAATTGGCATTAAAGTGCTCATATGCTGCCATTAGTTTCCCCAAGGCTACCAGAAAATTATACTAGAAACCATTTTAATATACACATAGTAATAAGACATTTTTTCTGTATAAAACTAAAAAACCTCATTTGTAATGTGCCATTTCTACCTCTCCACAAAGTCTATAAATCTGCTTATAGCTTTAGAGAAAGAGTTGTAATAAATCACCAGTGTCAACACATTGCAGAGTAGAGTATTAATTACAAGACCACCGTTCAGAACCAATCCAGGCACTTGGTTTAGGTGTTTAGCTCAGTGAGTTACTGAAACTGGTATTTGCTTTGCTTTGGTTACTTTCTCTGTAAAAAGTGGATGTTACAAAAGATTTATATTAAAAATGTCTATTAAAATTGACGTAAGATTTATGTATTTAAAACCACATCATTCACCAAATATGCTTAGTTCTTCTATTACTCTCAGCTACTGTGAGTACTAAGAGGGATGTGCAAAAAATGAGTTTTAAGTTGGGACATTCTTCTGGAAAGTAGCGCTTGCAGTTCAGTTCTCAGTGGCAGAGGAAGGAATCAATCCAGGTTATCTACACCTTAAGCCTTGCTGTAACCAATAAGTTTATCTTATACAGATGTTTTATTTTAACTCAAGTGAAAAATTCTATATGACATAAAAACTGCATTAGTTTTATCTTTTGAGCGAGATAAGGAAAGCACTTTCTTTTTTCTCCTCCTTCCTTCCCTCCCTCCACCTCCACAATTAAGTTCAAGCCAATTAGAAAACAAGCTACACCAAAATGGGTTTTGCAACTTGACCCATTTTAGAGAACTACTTAAATTGTCACTGAGTCTTAGAGATATTATCTAGGTAAGTAATTAGTGCACCTGGAAGATGGGACACACTCAGTTCCAATCTCAGCTGCAGTAAAAATAGAATTCTTTAAAGGAGCATCAAAAGGAGAAAATTAACATATTCTATGCCACAGTCCCCTTGTGGCTGGGGAGATGGAAACGTTAGATTTCTCAAATCCTAATATTTTAAACAGCATTTTTCATCTCAGGGGAATAAACTTAGTATGAGAGTACTGGGTAAGAGCAGAATTACAAACAGCATTCTTTCATCTCAAGGGAATAATGTTAGTACGAGGGTATTGGGTAAAAGCTGAATTATATCCACAACTTATTTCCAGCAAAATTCAGTGAATTTTACTCACTGATGGCAATATTACATTCTTTCACTTGATTTAATACCTGCTGAAGGAATGTCATCCACCTCTTGCGGGTACCTGCAAACCTTCTCTAGTTGCATTGATTTTGCTAGCAACACGGAGGAACGTCACCTGTCTAGGGATTACATCTTACACTGATATATTCTTGCATGACATCAAAATAGTGAGAGTTTCAATAAAATTGATTATACTTTTTAAGAGAGATTTGAAGGTGACAGAGAGCTACTAAAATCCCAAGCAGTCAATGTTAAGTGATGGTTATAAAATTTATTGTATTTGAATAATGCTATTTAATTAGAACACAGCCGTCAAAAATGTTCCATGAAGTCA